ATCGTTGGTGATAGTTTACATTTATTTTATAAATTACAAAGTTTTCAAAGCACTTTCCTTGTGAAATTGATTGGGCAAGAATGATTATCCCCATTTAAAAAAAATTATTTATTTTTAATTTTAACATTTACTTCCATAAGATTTTAAATTTGAAATTTTCTCCCCATCTCTCCCTACCCCAAGATGGTGTGCAATTTGATATAAGCTCTACATATACATTCATATTAGACCTATTTTCATGGAAGTCATGTTGTAAAGAAGAATTGGAACCAATGGGAGGAACCACAAGAAAGAAGAAACAAAAAAGAGAGAAAGAGCAAATAGTATGCTTTGATCTGCATTCAGACTCCACAGGTCTTTTTCTGGGTGTGGATAGCATTTTCTGATTTTCTCCATTTTACACATGAGAAAGTTGAGGCTCAGATCAAGTGACTTGCCAGAATTCACACCCTTAGTGAGAGTCAGCTGTCCGAACTGGAGTCTTTGGACTGTAGCACTCTCTCCACTTCAAGTGTATGGGAGACATCTTGTCAGAAGAGACTCCCGAGGGTGGCGTATTGCTTCCCAGAGAAAACTCTCTTTTTGGATAGTTGGATAGTAAGCACGGGGAGGTCGCAAATTCACTCATCTTTCAGTCAGTTCCTTGATAAGACCCCAGAGGAATGAAAGCCTTGCTATACCCTTCTTGCATATTAGTCTTGCTTATTTTCCATTATGCGGGTTATTGGGGGGGCTCTCAGCTCTTTTGGGGTCATAGGAGCCAAGGTTCTTAGAGCTGGACCATGAGGGGACCTAAAAGGCCACCTGTCCCAACGCCCTCATTTTACAGAGGGGGAGAATGAGGCCTGGGGACAGAAAGTGCCCACCCCTGCATCGCCAGGGTGCAGAATGGGGAAAGCCACGGCCTTGTGTTCTTTAGGACCATTTCATCTTTCTCAAAAAGCACATCAGCACCAGCGGGACGGTCAGAGTAATTGGTCGTCGGATCCTTTGTTTTCCTTCTTCCAGTTTTATCCGTCAGCGCCCTTGGGGTGACTTTGCTTGGTCAGCTTTCTTTAAACTCCTTTTAGCACCAACCAGACTTATCGCCTTGGCATTTCCTTGTTAAAGATAATGCACACCGCCATAGTTTCGTTTAAAGTTGGTAAATAACAGATGGTCTCTGTGTCATTCTGTTTCATTGTCTGGATTTTTATGTATTGGATTGAGTTAGAGTTTTATTTAATCTTTTGTTTTTGGTTTTGCCTTGTCTTCATTCAAAAGGAAAATCTTCCCAAAAGAAAAATTCCAGTGTGGTAATATATTGCAATGAAAATAGCTTTGGATTTAAAGTCAGAGGACCCAAATTCAAGTCCTGGGACTCTGACTCTCCCACTTGTTATCATCTGTGTGATTTTGTGCAAGTATTTGTTTTCTCAGCTGCAAAAAGAGCTCTGGTTAGACTAGATTATCTTTAAGGCCTCTCTCAGCTCTGAGTTTATAATCTTTTGCATTTGAAAACACACACACACACACTCGCACACACACGCACATGTATCATTAAAAGATAAAACAAAGTTTATCTTCCCAAAGAGGCCACTTATTATTTGAGTAACATAGACCACAAAAACTTTGAGTTGGTTCTGAACTTTCAAGGGAAGCTAAGCAAAAAAAGAAAGAAAGAAAGAAAGAAAGAAAGAAAGAAAAATGGGTGTTTTAAGGAAAACAGTAACCGGTGAGGAAACACAAGGTGTCTCTAGAATGACCTCTGTGGAAATCCAATGATGGAGAATCTGCTGAAGAGAGCTTGGAGGTCCCTGGGAAGGGTCTCAAAAGGATCATAGAATCCTAGGGCTATGGCTGGGAGGGATCTTAGAGAGGGCCTCAGGTATTGAAACCCTCTTTTTTTGTTCCTTGGGATGAATGCTATGCTCCACATGCCACTGGTGGCCAAACCACAAGTAAAGATAACATTGATTTATTTCTTTGACCTGCCTTTACCTGTGGTAAGGTAACTTTAACTCCTGGGCTTGGAGTCAGAGGACCTTGGTTTAAAACCCACCTCTGGGCCTTATAATGTGTGAGACTTGGAGCAACTCACATTATTTATTTCTCTGGGTCTCAGCTTCCTCCTGTATATTTGAGTATATAAAATTGGAAAGCCTTTTTTTTTTTTTAAACTAATAAAATCAGTGCAGCTAAGATAAAAAAAGAAAGCTGCTGATTGGGAAAAAAAAAAAAGAATCTTTGCCTCCGATATCAGTGATCAAAGTCTGATGTGTAAGATAATTGTAAGAATTCTGTCTTCCTTTCTTTCTCTCGGTTCTAAAACTACCACTCGTCATTAAAATGATTAGGTGGCCTAAAGACCCAGGTGGAGTATCAGAGAGAAAACATCGGTACCAGGATATGGGCCTCCTTAAAATTAACCTTGTTGACAAGGAGTTAATCTCGACATCCATGGCTGGCAAAGGGGATGGGAATTCAAAGAGAAGGATAACAACCAGCCGAATCCTGTGGGTGGGGCATCGGTATCCATGAAACATTCAAAGAACCAGAGATATGTCCCCTATTATGTTGGGTAAATCCTTTACGTTGGATCTAGAGAAAAGATACGGAAGAGGAATTTCATAAGCTAGGAACAAAGACTCACCCTAGTCTACGGTCCCAGATCTGTTGGGATATTGTATTTGTGAAAAGAACCCCCCTAGCCCTTTGAATCAGGAGACCAATCCTAGCTGCATGATTGGAAGCTATTGTCATTTAACTCCCCTGTGCCTCAGTTTCCTCATCTGTAAAGTGGGGCTACCTGTACTGCCTACCTCACAGCATTATCATGACAAAAATTATTTTTAAATCTTAAGACATGTGTTGAGCTCATTCGGCCCAAACTTCTTTGTCCAAAGTTCCGACGATCTCTCAATTGCCAGATCAGATGGCCTTTTCTCAATCCTCGTTCTGTCCTGGGCCCTCTTCTCTCCTCCCTCCACACTATTCATTTGTTGATCTCATCTGCACCTATGGATTCAATGATCATATCTATGCTAATGATCCACTTATCCAGGCTTAACCTCCTTACTGACCAGAGTCTCTGGTCTCCACCTGTCGACTGGACAGCTTGAACTGGATCTCCTGAAGACATCTTAAGACCAAAGCTGAACTCTCTTCCTACCCCCAACTTTCCCCTCTTCCTAACTCCTGTTACTGTTGAGGGTGCCCCCATCCTGCTGCTCCTAGACTCACTTTTTCTCACCTGCCACGTCCAGTCTATTGCTAAGATTTGTCGATTTTCCTTTCATAACATTTCTCCAGTCTCCAGTTTTTCCCATCCAGATGCCCCCTTCTCTCTCCTCTGATGCTGCCGCCTCTCCAGTGCAGGCCCTCGTCACCTCGCACCGAACCGTGGCAATCGCTGGCCAAAGAGTCTGCCAGCCTCCGACCTCTCCTCAGCCCATTTAGCTGTGAAAGGGGATCTTCCATGGTCCTACCGTGTCACCCCCTTACTCTATAAACTTCACTGGCTCCCTATCACCTCCAGAAGCAGACATAAAATCCTTTTAATTTAATTAATTTAATTTAATCCTTCATAACCTGCCTCCCCCCAACCATTTTTGCCTCTCCTTCCCTTCTTCCCTCCCTCTTCAGTCCGGCGACACTGGCCTCCTGCCCACTCCATCTCCAGTCTCCTTGCACTGTCTCTGGATGTCCCCCAAGCTGGGAATCCTCTCTCATCATCTCCTTCTTCTGGTTTCCCTGGATTCCTTCAAGTTCCAGCTAAAATCCTGCCTTCTACAGGAAGCCTTTCCTGATCCCCCTTAACCTGATTTCCTCCCTCTGTTGATTATTTCCAATTTATCCTGATTGTAGCTTAATTGTCCATAGCCATTTGCATGTTCTCTTCCCCTGTGGACTGCAAGCCCCTGGACAGCAGGACTGTCTTTTACCTTTTTTTGTATACCCAGCTCTTCACCAGTGCCTGGCATATAGTAGGTGCTTAATATATGCTTGTTGACTGAAGTGTCGAATGAAAGGAAAACATCTGTGTGGTCCAATGGAAACAACCCCGGCTCTGGAACCACAGCTGGTTTCACATCCTGCCTCTGAGATTTTACTGCTTATGTGACCTCAGGCAGATCTCTTACCCTTCCTCATCTGGAAAGGAGAGGATGAACCCCAAGGCACTTCCAGCTGTAAATCTGTGAACGTGTGTGATACAGAAGCTATGGGGGGCGGGGCTCTTCTGCAGATGTACCAAGACTGGCTGGCCAGCCCATTAAGTTCAGGCAGAAAAAGCCCTGGGGTCCTTCTCGGTGGCTTCCAGCCACTGTGAGCTGCCTACAGGTCTGAATCTACTACTGGCTGTGTGGTTGGGTCTTTGTTTATTTGAGGACTGACAGAAGGAAGAATGAAAATGAATTCTCCAAATGGCATAAATTCTCCTTTGTTTTTAATCTCTATGTCCCCTGAAGTCTAGGGTGGTTTGTTTTCTAGCCAGATATCCCTGATTTTGGACTCCAGGTGGGGACTTCCACTGAGAATTTAAGCCATTCCTGCAGGATTACTAAGCCAGCATATGTCAGAAGCAGGACTTGAACGCAAGTCTTTCTGACTCCCACAGCCGGCCCTCTATCGCCTATACCTTGCTGTCTCTCATAAGCACATAGTAGGTGCTTCATAAATGAAGAATTGAACTTTGTGGGGAGGGGAAGATGGGCCATTTTTGACTTTGTGAGAATCTGAAATGTAAATGAATGAGGATACCTAACTGCATCGACTCTCAGAGGTCACCTAGCCCTACCCTGAAGAGCCATCCCACCCAAGCCTGTCCTCCCCTCCCACCTCCCCAGGTCGGGGGCTCATGCTTACTGGCGGGAGTAGACCTCTCAAATTTGGGTGCTCTACCCAAATACCATTGTTCTCTTTAGATACTGGATACTGATGACTAAGCAAGGAATTGGAGGCAGGCCCCTGGTTTAAAGCAAGAACTCAGAGCTCATGCCGGCTCTTTTCTGACCCCACAGATCTTATCTGTCTCACAACATCCCAGAGAGGTGAGAGGCTGAGCTGGAGGTGGTGGCGGGGCTCAGGATGGAAAGGAACCAGGGACAGACCTAATCCACTTAGAAAGACCATCTGGACTGAGAAGTAACCTCTGGAGGAGGCCGGGTAAGTGCATTACCCATTCCCGTCCTTTGTAACCCTGCGGGCGCCGGTATTCAGATGAATGTTTGGAGTGGGTAAAGGTATTAGGTTATGAAGAGTAATCAGCTTTATAAATAGAATTTTGTGGGCTGAGCCAGTGGAAAGAAACCATCATCTCCTTCCCCCACCCTGCTAACCCCTGGTTTTCCAACCAACTCCCAAGAGATTTGGTGGTATCATCATCAGACCACTGGAATCCTGACCTCAACTTCCTGCTCTTCTTTCTCTTGGTCTAAGAATTTATTATATTAACAGTTACAACCCTTGTGGATTGATTGACTCCAAAGATAGCTTGATCCGAGATTTTCTGCAGGCTGTGGGGCTTGGGGTCTGATATATTTCTTTGTTGCCCACCCACCTAGCCCAGTGGTCTGTCCCTAGCAGGTGCGTGATAAAGCAGAAGGAAGAAGGATAAACACTTATTAAGCACCTACTGTGTGCCAGGCACTGTACTGGAGATATAAAGACAAAAATGAAGCAGGCTTTGCCCTCAAGGGGCTTCCATTCCACTGTACACATACATGTAAATACAAAGTAAGTGAATGGGAATTTCAGGGATGGGAGGGTATGAGAAAGCGGTAAGAACAATGGATTTTTATCAGCACTTTTTCCCAGAGGGACACCCCTAGTTCCAACCAAAAGTTTTGGCCCATGAAACTTAGGCAGCTCAAATTTTAGATCAACACTTTGTATTTTTTTATTGACACCCGAAGGAGACGGATGGAGCATGGTTCAGTGAGGCTGGGGCGTGGGTCAGGCTGGCAAGCCATCCCAGTGATGGCCTTGGTACCACGCACTTCAGAAGGGTTTGTAGCGGACTGGCCATCCAGGATTGCAGTCCCTAAGCCAGAGGTGCCATCATTTTTTGGTACAGCTTTAGGGGTCAGTAGAGTAGGGATGTGAGTGTGTATATGAGGGTGGTGTGTGTGTGTGTGTGTGTGTGTGTGTGTGTGTGTGTGTGTGTGTGTG